ATGTTTGGGTGATACTCTCAGACACATGGTGTGACTCTTGGAGATGGTCCTGTGTAGGCACAGGAGTTGGACTCGGTGGTCCTTGTGGGTCCCTTCCAACTCAGCATATTCTGTGACTCTGTAAACTGATACTTGTTTAGTTTAAGGCCATTCCCCCTTGTTCTGTCATTACATGCCCTTGTAAGAAGTCATCCTGACACGCTTTCTGTAATTTTAGAGATTGTTCTGATGGCACATGAAGGCTTTGAGATGTTTCACAACATCCGAATAAAGCTTTTGTGTTCTCTGTTTACTTGTATAACTGGGTCCATTTGCGTGATACCTTTGAATACTGTAAAGTCTCACAACATCCCAAAAGTTCATAGTAGGAAAGTTGCATTGGAAAAGTAATTAGAAGTAAAACAATCTCTTATGAGGATTTGTGATGCCTCCTTTTCTACGATTATCGATCTCTCAGTCACAGAGTTGCCATTAGAAGTGCCTATAGCTTAGAAATGCCAACTACGCCTCCATTGGTAACACAAACAATCCAGAATTTCTGATGAAGGTTGATCAGACTAGGGCAGCTCAACACTAGCTTTCCTCTATGAAGTGGAGAACTCAGGCTGACAAATCTTGCATAAATTATTCAAGTTTCAGGTTTCATTACTGGGGTTCAGTTACTTGTCTTTACCTATATGTACTTTTCTAGTGAGATTGGACAATGTATAAGTGTAATCTGTTACACACATGAGTTCTGGGTTCATCTTTTTTTATTTTTCATGAGGGGATCCTGTCGTTAACATGGTTGTTGACTAAAAAAGCCTTTTTAAGTTACTATTCACAAAACTTTCATGTAATCTCAGGATTTCTGGAGTGTTACTAGGTGAAAGGTCTGAAGTCAAAGAATTAATGGTTTGAAATTTAATTTGAAATGAAGTGTTCGAAAGTCAACATTGCAAAAGCTACTGAGAGGATCTGAAATCTCAGACTGGATTTAACAAGAGAGGATGTTATCTACAAGGATAAAAATATGAGAGATATTTCAAAAGAGTGAATAAAATCATCATCATGGCTGAAGATGTTTAAGGTTTTGGAAGATCATACACAAGATATTAGCTTGGAAAAAGAAAAAAGGGGTAAATGTGCATCAGAAATCTCTGTCTTATAATAAGTAATTACAGAGAAGTTTGGAATTATATAGCCCATTACTCATTCTCACATCCAAAATTTCTCTGGTGTTTTGCAGAAAGATACAGAGTGAAAATTGAGGCCCCATTAAATTAATTGAAATGTTACTGTTTAATTCTACCTGTTCTCCCACTTTTACCACTAAAAGATAAAGAGGAAAATATCAATAAACTTTGGTAAAGCCTCCTTAAAATACAGAAATACCATGGAGGTTTTAGATAAATTCATATGGAATATGAAAGAAAGTTCAGAATAGTATTTTACTCCCTTGCTTTAAAAGAGGGCAAATGCCACCTGAGACATACTATATAAAAATGTGGCAGGGAGAAAAGCATAAAGTACTTAACTTTTCATTTTTTCAAGGTTATGTTTAGATAAGAAAATCAAGAAAGTTTTACATACTCAGAAGTGACTTTCAGCTGTTACAACCTTTTCTTTGGACTTTGATTCCATTCCAAGAAGTGTTTATTTTGATTTATCTTACACCTGTTCCTAACAAGTTAAACTCCACTGAAATAATGTGCCTGCCTGCCTTCCCTGCTTCCTAGGGAAACACAGATGGGGAAAGCTGACTTAGGTGATAGACACACTCTTTCCTTCCCTGTTCGCAGCCTGAGGAGTTAGGGATGGGTTGGTGGTGGGGGTTGGAGCTGTGAAAAGTTGAAGACGATGAGAGGGTAAGGTATGAAAAACCTCCAGCAGCCAGGGCAGGTTCTCTTCCCTTCAGCTGTTTTTCAAATAAGTTCCAGTGCATTTTCTCCTCCCGTTTTTCCTCAGCCTTTCCTCCCTTTAGGGAGAGTCTCATCTCTACCCTCTGGACAGGAGGGTATACACAAGTAGACAAATTCTTTGGACCAATGCTTTTAAAAGGCAAAAGAGAGCTATGCTGCTGTTGGCTTCTTTGTCCCTCATGGTCAGAGGGGACTCAAGACCCTTAGTGGGGCAGAGGGCTCCCAGCAGTGAAGGGTAGATACTGTGTGCTGCTGGCAAGACTGAATTAATTTGAATGTTTTGAAGTGGGGGGCCTCCATAAAACTATTTTATAAAGAAAACTGTCAGAGCTCCTAGAATAAGTAGGAGTAAGGGCAGGTGCATGTTACTGACTTTTTTAAAAAAATGTCCTGTTGGAATTAGTTCACGCTAACCAAAACCCCCAGTAAGCACTTTAATAATTTCTGTACCAAATTCATAATATTTGGGAGACATTTTTTTTTTAAGTTCTAAGAATGATTTGCAGGTATGCATGCTGCTTTACTAGTGGTCTCTGATTTGCTGCTAGCCAGTCAACACTAAATAAAAATGAATGTTACATTGCTGCTCCACTTGGACCTGCATGGGACAAGTCAAAATCACCCTGCCATCATGTTCATCACCAGGGACACTGCTTCTTCTGCACAGTCCGTACTGTTCAAGGCATTCCAGCACACTCTATGTGAGCCTTGGATGCAAATAAACACAACTAAATATAGAAGTTTGCTTTTAGGTGGGTATGTGTGGGCTAAGTGTCTATACTTCCAGTATAGTCAATTGAGATCTAAGGCTTAGTTGAGCAGAGTACATAGAGGTGTCCCCTGTTACATGATATTCCGTGCTCTCCAGTGACTTCTCTTGAAGAGTACAGCTTTCCCAGGTCCAAGAGCATAGCTGACAGATCTAGGAGATGTCTCAGATACCTTAAGGCATATCAAATGGCACTGGAAAAAAAAAATTTGGGCAGCAGAATCAAGTCTTTTTTGTACCAAGCCTAGAGCATGAGGCAGCTGAGCAGACAGCAGGAGCCCTCCTGAGGATTAGCTGCACCTCTCTCAGTTGACACAATTACCTTGTGCTGCATGGGAAGTTTAAACACTTGCTTCACATGTAGACACCTAAATTCAAATGTCTTCATGTGGAGTTCAATCCCATCCCATCAATTTTTCTGATCTCCATTAGAATTTGTGATGTCTAACTTTTCCTTGTCAGTTTTCCTATTTCTGAATTCTCACCAAGACCTTCTGCATCTGGTTGTTGTGCTCTTGAGACTCATGCTGTGCAGAGACACTCCAGGATACTTTATCCATTTCTGGCTCTTCTTGATCTCCGAACTTGTTGGATTTACATCTAGAAGCAAATCCAGTGGTTTTGGTAGCCAATTTTATAGTAGCCACCTAGGATTCACCTATGTAGTAGCCAAAGGTATTTTAAAATGTCAGAGTTTAAGACAGGCAGAAGGTCAGTCTAGCCCAACACAGTATGTGCAACAGTGACACCAGGCAACAGTGAACAGTCAGGGAACATTACACAAGCAGGGCAAATATACAGTGATATTTCTCTGCAAGCGTCTCTCAGCTTCCAACAACCTCCTACTTGGAGACGTCCTGAACAAGAAGTGGGCTTTTGGTATTAATTAGCCCAGGATTAAATCTTCTCCCATGAGATTGTCCAACTGGCTTTAAACCTATATAAATTTCTGGCCCCTTGTGACAAAGATTTCTGCAATTTAACAGAACAATCCTTAAACCACAGGTACAGGTTGTCTGTACCCTTGGCACTGTAATGAGAGCACAAAGCCATCCACAAGTGAGTTCAGAGAAACCCAATATGTTTGCAGGCAAGGAAAGGTATTTAGACCTCAGTTTCCTTCAGTGGCTGAGCAAAATGAACAAAAGCTATTTCCTGCTGTACTGGGGCAGGCTAAGAGAGCAGTCTCCTACCTGTAGGTACAGTCAATACCGTTCACTGCTCGCCTGTGGAGGTGAGGAGTTTCACTTACTAATTCTTGACTTATAGGAGCTGTGCTTGGGACAAGATGAGTGTTTATACCTAGTACAAAAGAAGTAAAACTCATATCAACAAGGACTTGCTTTCAGTTCTTCACTGACAGACATGGGTTTAGATTTTCCTTACATAGAAACATACAACACGAAACCCTAAGATTAAAACCAGGTACTTCTTACAAAGGCTCTTTAAGCTTTTAAAGATGGTTAGGAAATTAATCTTGAGGTGAGGAAATTACACAGGTTGTTCTGTGTTTTCCCACTCCGTGCACACCAGTGTGTCCACCCCAATTATTGTAAAAGAATATTATGCCTTCTCACAGCATCCATGTTCCATCACTCTGCTGCTTGTCCTCATCTCCCCTTAAATGCTGTTCTGGCTCCAAGGGCAGCTGGCAGATTAGCTCATGCACACCAAAGTTTCTCTTACAGTTTTAGTCTGTGACCCAAAGAAATAAACTCTAACACTTGCTGAGCTTCAACAAACTTTCCAGGCTGCTAGCTAAAAGAATGCTTCTGAGTACGCAGCACTCTATTTCCTCCCTTCCAGGAAATGGTACATCGGGGGAGTTGAGTCCAGAAACCATGTTCCTCAACCACATAGTGTCTGTTCTCATAGGAAATTAGTACTGTGCTTGTAAGTCTAATTCCACTGGACACTCGCCTCTGGGGCTGCTCTATTTTTTTCCTAGCTTACTTTTCTTTTTTGTCTTTTTATAGGAAAGTTGCGATGGGGAGATATATAAAGGGGAAAAGTTCTAATCCATCTATTGATTTCTACAGTTTGATACCTCAGGTTTCAAAGCACCTACATGGGGTTTCTTCAACACTACTCCTCTTATCCATATGTTTTGAAAATTGCTACCCTTAGTTTTCACCCTGGGGGCTCCCAAGGTAGTTCTGACACCAGCCCTGACCTCACATCCCTACCTCAAACAGGAATCTCAGTGCTCTGGATATCCACCCACTACAGAGCCTCTCTCTTCATTCAGCTTCTTCATTCAGCTCATGTTCATATATGTGATATTTATTGATACTTGGATATTAATGTTTTCTGTAATGTATTTCTTTCAGACATCATTGTTCTCATCGCTTCAATAGCAGTTGTTTCTGCAAAAACTCAGGGTAACATTTTTGCAACATCAGCACTGAGAAGTCTTCGTTTCCTACAGATCCTTCGTATGGTGCGTATGGACCGAAGAGGAGGCACTTGGAAATTATTAGGTTCAGTAGTTTATGCACATAGCAAGGTATGTAATCCTAGATACTAATTTTGTCTGGTTGACATCTTCACTTGATGTGATTCAACAAGAGGCCAAGGACATAAACTCAGTTTTGAGCAGAATACCCAAAATTTTCTGAAATAACATCCACTTTAATGTGAACTAGCACAAATACATCAGGCCATGTTTAATGCTAACAGTTTTTAGGATATCTTGGAAATGTTGTCCTTGGTATGCAGTTGTAATTTGTTATTTGTTGGTGAAGTTGCTGAAGCGTCAAACCATAGGAGTAGATCTCGTCCACTTTCAAAGAAAATTTGCGGCCATAGGGAACCACTTGACTTTTAACTGCACAAATGCCAAAAAAAATGTAGAGGGAGATCTTTTAATTATGTCTTCCTTAAGATGCCGTTCTGTTCAGTCTTTAAAGTGGATATTGATCTCTGTTTTCTTTTATCTAGGAATTAATCACAGCCTGGTACATAGGATTTTTAGTACTCATCTTTTCATCTTTCCTGGTTTATCTGGTGGAAAAAGATGCAAATACCCAATTCTCCACATATGCAGATGCTCTCTGGTGGGGCACAGTAAGTACAGAAAAAAACTAGTAACTCTTTAACCAGTATGCTAAAGTGCTTTGAATTTCACCTACGGAGGACTTTAACTTAGTGTGCTCTTTGATGAATTGTTTTCACTGGCAAAAAAACTTGTCTGAGAAGCTCCCTCCTCCAGCTATTCATTTGTACATCAACAGATTTCAACCCATCCTGCAGAATAGCTGTTTATGTGTTTCTGCTTCAAACCAGACCACTAAACCTTCAAGAGAATCATAGAATCAGCTGGCTTTGAAAGGACCTCCGAGATCATCAAGTCCAACCCTTGATCCAACACCACTGTGGTTACTAGACCATGGCAATGAGTGCCACATCCAGTCTCATCTTAAAAACCTCCAGGGATGGAGAATCCACCACTTCCCTGGGCAGCCCATTCCAATGCCTGATTACCCTCTCTGTAAAGAATTTCTTCCTAATATCTAACCTAAACCTTGCCTGGCAGAGCTTAAGACCATGCCCTCTTGTCTTACTGATAGCTGCCTGGGAGAAGAGACCAACTACAACCTCCTGTCAGGTAGTTGTAGAGAGTGATGAGGTCTCCCCTGAGCCTCCTCTTCTCCAGGCTAAAGAAGCCCAGCTCCCTCAGCCTCTCCTCATAGGACTTGTGCTCAAGTCCCTTCACCAGCCTCGTTGCTCTTCTCTGGACCTGCTCCAGCACCTCAATATCCTTCCTGAACTGAGGGGCATTGTACTTTTTAACCCACGGCCTTTCAGTAACATAGTTTGTAACATGACCCCACAAAGACCTGCTTTGATACAAATCAAGAGGGCTGTAAGCTGCAGTGCAGGAAGAGGAACAAGTGTCAGGAAAGAGGGAAAAAAATCTTACACCAGCTTTGTGGTGAAAGGGAGAGTATTATCAGTACCCTTAGAAAGATGTTGCTTCTCCTTCCTCTGTGCCTTGAGTACAAAAAGCAAGAATATGCCCATCGTGGTTTAGCAATGTTATTTTTTAAAGGTATAAAGCCTCTGATTTACTTGACATCATGTTTAACCATCGAATAATTTGTTTTTACTTTGTTGAAATCTCTGGTATCTAAGTACATGTCTGACTGTTTTTCTGAAAGATGAAGGATTATATGAATGCTTACATGGTTAATTAAACTAGGCTTTAAATGAACAACAAAAGGCTAGATCTGAAGTTTTGATTTTCTTATTTTTTAAATAATATAATGTGTAGGGTTTTTTGCTTAAAAATGCCCTATAGTGATCTAGAATCTGGTAATGTGTGAGAGTTACTTAGGCAGCTTCAGAAATCTGCTCCCAGAAAACCTACAGCAGAGTTATTGTCAGCCAGTATAAAATGGCTTTTCTTTTCCTTCTGGTGCTGTAGAAAAAACAGTGTGCTCTGAGAGTGGCTGGGTAGTGAAATGATACCTGTTAATTAATGCTGAACCAAGCCAAATAACCAAATAACCTAGAACACTCAGTTTTCCTGGAATAAGTGCAAGACCTGAACAGTCTGCCGCCTTTTCTCATCATAAGGATGCACAGATGGAGCTTTCTCCCCTTAGACCTTCTACTGACAAGATTTCATCTAGACTTAGTAGTATCTGCAGATTCAGAGCATGCACCCATGGACTGTGAAAAAGCCCTTTCCAAATTATTGGGAAATAATTTTAAGAAGTTTTTCTACATTTTGAGCTAAGATCAAGGTCACTTACTATTAGTAAGGGTAGTTTGTGTTTTTGAAATTTGTTTGTCTAAGGGCTAGTCATTTGTTGCATGTCTTCCCTAGAGACTGTATTTCTGTGTTATCAACACAAAAATTGGGAGCTTGGAAAAGCCAAACCTAGTAAGTCTTACTTGTGCATTTGCAAATATACAAAAGTATCTTTTACTGAAACTTGTTGCTTTAGAGCATCAAGGCAGATCTATGATAAAATACACATTTTATCCTGTAGTCCAAACACAAGTAAAATTCATATTGGCTAAAGCCATGAGAGAAAGTTTTGCCTTCAGTTGCATCACTGTAATTTATTTTGTTTTACTTTTCTTCAAAAGCTGAGGTTTGCCTTAAAGCTTTCTCACCTTCCTGTATTGACATGGTTGTGAAGCATCTGGCTTGGCATGCTGGTGTCCCCACTGAAGTGTACCCTGGCTCTGGCAGTCTGAAAATGCCATTTCCCCTTTGGGGGTGGCAGTGGGGATGTGGTCCTGCAAGAGACCCTCCTGTGGCAATGCACCATTTTGGGAATGGATGTTTTCAGACAGTTGATTCTCCAGAAAACACCCTCTGCCTCTCTGCAAGGACATGTGTGACTTAGCTCTTCATAGGCAGGAAGTTTGGACTGAGGAGAGGATTGTACCCACCTGCTAGCAGGTGGGTGAAAACATATGCAAAGGAACGAGAAATTCCCAGCAAAGTCAGACTTCCACTCTGACATCTGACTTAGGCTCGTGTTAGATCCAGATCCTTCTCCCTAAGCAGCTCTAGCAGCAGGAACAAGATCTTTATTTTAGAATTTGCTTCTGCACTACCTGCTGACTGCTATTTTTTAAGGAAAAACCCTGCTAGGAAATAAACATTGTATAAAGTGGTGCTTAAAATATTTTGTACACTATGAAGTGAAAATATATGACTCATAGGTTATATAAGTAGTGCAACTGAGAAAATAGGAATCTTGTCTAGATTTCAGCATGAAAAACAACAAATTGTAATAAAAACCCTGCAAACAATATATATTGTAGATTTCTATATCTTTTCTTCTTTCCCCAGTGTATGGCATGGATACATTTAAATTTTTAATGCACTTAAGTAAGTGCACGAAGTTACTGGAAATCAATGTTCCCCCTTACCTGTTATTTTTGCCATTTTAATAATAGTATTTTTTGTATAATATGTAAAACAGTGTGTGGGAAATGCATAATGTGCTTCTTAGTCATGGTTGTTTTTACTGCCAGAGTAACCCACATGAAGATTTTTGAAAAGGTCAGATTCTTTGGCATTCTAGGGGAAATCAATGCTTAGTCTCATTGGTTTGTTTATTTGCAAAAGTTTTTCTAACTTAAACCACAGATTATCTACCAAATCCTGGACTGAATTCTGTCATGGCAGAGGCACAAGAAAGTAAAGACAGCATTGAAGTCAGGCACAAATAGTTGCCTTAAACTTCAAGCTTTTAGAAGCACTACGCCCCTCCTTACAGGATCAGCCCTGGCATGCTGCAATTAACCCATTCATTAATTCAGATTATTTGGGGGCCATACCCTGCTATGGTCATTTCACTGACTCCATTTCTGAAGCCCATACTTTTACATTGAAATGAAAGGCAGGATATGGCATCCAAATTTACATATGAATACTCCACTGTATTTGCAATTGCATGCTGTACTGTGCAACCTGCAATTTAAACATCATACTAGTATTACTAGTGTGAATATTCTTGTGGCTGGGATCCCCACAGCGCTGCCTAACACAGCAGTACCCAACAGTGAATGTTATATGAAGAGCTCAAGTTCAAAATTTGTTTTGACAGACAAGGTATATTCATTTAACAGAAGAAAATAACCAAACTATATGGGAACAAAAGGTCAATTAAAAAACTTAAGTGTTTCAAAACAAAACGTGTATGGTTTTCAGAGAAACACTAGTGTTAAATAGAACTGTGTGTGCTTATAGTGACATTTAGTTTGTACACTAATTAGTTTTAGCTGCAAATGCAATGAAATTAAGATTCCT